AAATTGCTGATGCTGGGAAGATGCTCCAGGAGGCGGATCGGCGTGCCGAAGAAAATGCGGCCAAAATAGCGGAGCTTGCGTCGAAGCTGGCGGCTACCGAGCTGGAGGTGGTGGCTGCTCAGGAGGCGAAGGCGGCGGTGGAGGTGGCGATGGATGCGGCCGAACGGTCGCATGCGAGGGAGCTGGAAGAGGCGAAGGCAAAAGCCGTTGCTGAATACCGTTCCACAGAGGAGTTCACGGTGATGTTGGATAGAGAGGTCATGGAGCAGTGTGATGACCTGCTGTACCGATTCAAGCGGTACAACGCAGATAAGAAGCTGAACATGAACTTTCTCCGGGATCCGCCTCTACTGCCGAAAGGGGTGACCGAAGAGATGGTGGAGGCGTACAAGGGCAAGGATGCCGAACCCGAAGATGCCGATGACACCGAATCCAGTAGCGAGGAGGAAGAGAACCACCCTGCACCAAACGCCTCGAGCGTGCCGATCGCTGAAGCTTCGACCGTTGCCAAGCCTGAAGGTGCAGCCGCAAATGCCGAACCCCAAGCCCCTTAGGTTTTGTAATAATATTGATTTGGAAATTTATAAGATTTTTTGAACATGCCGAATGGCGGTGTGTAAAGACAAATGGCCCTTCTGTGGCCTGTTTATCTATGTTAAGTTTGTTTGGGTTTTATCTGCTATGTTCCTTAATTCCGTATGTGTGCATGCTGTATGTAGAATATTCTGGATATAATATTGCTATATGGTAATGCCGTACGTATAGAATAGGGAATTAAAATATATCGATTACAAAGGGAATGACCGAAGGTGACGACCGAAGGTGTGACCACTTTGTACAAAGGTGATGACCGAAGGTTCGTCCACTTTGTACGAAGGTGGTGACCGAAGGTGATAACCGAAGGTGTGTTCACTTGTAGTAATATTTGAGATGTTCTATATGCCAAGGATGGCCGAGGGTCTGACCATCGGTATCGCACAAACAATAAGTTCCCGGTCGGCAGACATTGACGACCTCGTAAGGACCTTCCCAAGATGGACCAAGGGTGCCCTCGCTGGAGTCCTTGGTGGCAAGAGAGATTTTACGTAGAACCCAGTCCCCCACTTTAAACGATCGGCGCTTGACGCGCGAGTCGTAGTAGCGAGAAGTCCGTTGTTTGTAGGCAGCATTCCGAAGCTGAGCCTGGGAACGGTGTTCATCAATGAGGTCCAGGTTGAGTGTGAGCTGGGCTTCGTTTTGCTCTGGCTTGTAAGATGCCTTTGGCACGAGGGTGCGTTGATCTCGACGGGGACAACGGCTTCGATACCGAAAGCAAGGGAAAATGGTGTTTCGCCTGTCGACCGTCGGTAGGAGGTGTTGATGGCCCATAGTGCTTCCGGAAGGAGATCGGGCCATGCTCCTTTAGCCGTCCCAAGCTTTTTCTTCAGCGTCCTCTTGATGATCTTGTTGATGGCTTCGACCTGGCCGTTCGATTGTGGATGTGCTGGGGAGGCGAAGAACAGGTTGATGCCGAATCGGTGGCATAGGTGCCGGAACTAAAAGGAGTCAAATTGTTTTCCGTTGTCGGTGATGATTGCGGTCGGAAGGCCGAACCGGCAAATAATATTCTTCCATACGAAATGTTCAACTCTGGCTGCGGTGATAGTTGCCAAGGCTTTGGCTTCGGTCCATTTAGTAAAGTAGTCGACAGCGACGATGGAAAACTTGAGCTGTCCCTTCCCTTGGGGCATGGGGCCGATGAGGTCTAAACCCCACTGAGCGAAGGGCCACGGGCTAACAATCGGAGTGAGCGGTTCGGCAGGGAGTTTCGGAACTGAGCCGAAACGCTGGCATTGATCGCACTTTTGAACGAGTGCGACGGCATCGATATGGAGTGTCGGCCAATAGTACCCCTGCCGAATGGTTTTGAAGGCTAGAGATCGGGCCCCAGAATGGTCTCCGCAGGCTCCTTCGTGAATCTCCCGTAAGACGTAGTTTCCTTGCTGCGGGGTCAGGCACCGAAGCAACGGCAAGGAATGGCCACGCCGATAGAGAATCTGATTCAAGATTAAGTAGCGTGCCGATCGGCGGCGGAGGGTTTTGGCCTCTGTTTTATCATCTGGTAAAGTTCCGCTTGAGAGGTAAGCATATATTGGATCCACCTAGCTTGGATCCTGCCGAACGGCATGTACTTCGCATTCCATGGTGCTGCGCCGAGCGAGGATTTCGATCGGGACGTGGCGACCGACGTTGTCGTCAATTGCCGATGCCAGACGTGATAGGGCATCGGCGTGGCTGTTCTCAGATCTTGGGATCTGTTGAACCTGGAACGCGTCAAAGTGATGTAGCAACCGGCGGGCATGCGTCAAGTAGGCAGCCATCGAAGGATCTTTGGCCTCGAATTCAGTCAAAACCTGATTTACGACAAGTTGTGAGTCGCTGCATATCTTCAGCTGTCGAGCGCCCATTTCCTTGGCGAGCCGAAGGCCTGCTAACAGGGCTTCATATTCGGCTTCGTTGTTGGAAGCTTGGAAATGGAATCGGATGGCGTACTCGATGGTAGTTTGATCAGGGGCCTTGAGAACTAAGCCGGCCCCGCTGCCTTGTCGGTTGGACGAACCGTCTACGTAGAGAGTCCACAAAGGGAGTGATGAAATGAATGTGCCCTCGGAAGGATGGGCGAATGATGCTGCTGATTCCGAAACGGTATTGTCTGGTTTGGATCCTTCAGAGGTAGTCATTTCGGAGATGAAATCAGCCACGGCTTGTCCCTTCTCGGCAGGCCGAGGGTGATAGTGGATGTCGAATTCGCTGAGCTCAATTGCCCACTTCACTAGTCGACCTGATGTTTCCGGTCTTTGTAGTATCTGGCGTAGAGGCTGATTGGTGAGAACGGAAATGCTGTGAGCCTGGAAGTACGGCCGAAGCTTGCGTGCTGAGAGAACAAGAGCATAGGCAAGCTTTTCCAGCTCAGGGTACCCCGCTGCCTTGTCGGTTGGACGAACCGTCTACGTAGAGAGTCCACAAAGGGAGTGATGAAATGAATGTGCCCTCGGAAGGATGGGCGAATGATGCTGCTGATTCCGAAACGGTATTGTCTGGTTTGGATCCTTCAGAGGTAGTCATTTCGGAGATGAAATCAGCCACGGCTTGTCCCTTCTCGGCAGGCCGAGGGTGATAGTGGATGTCGAATTCGCTGAGCTCAATTGCCCACTTCACTAGTCGACCTGATGTTTCCGGTCTTTGTAGTATCTGGCGTAGAGGCTGATTGGTGAGAACGGAAATGCTGTGAGCCTGGAAGTACGGCCGAAGCTTGCGTGCTGAGAGAACAAGAGCATAGGCAAGCTTTTCCAGCTCAGGGTACCGAATCTCGGCATCCTGCAAGGCGTGGCTGGTATAGAAAATTGGAAGCTCTATGCCGTTCGGCTTGCGAATGAGCACAGAGCTTAATGCCGTTGCCGATACGGATAGGTAGAGAGTTAACTCTTCGCCAGGAAGAGGGGTGGATAGCAGGGGCGCCCTGCTCATATAGGCCTTGAGGTCTTGGAAAGCGCAGTCGCATTCGGCTGTCCAGACAATCTGCCGTTTGCTTCCTTTGAGGGCTTTAAAGAAAGGGGCACATCGATCGGTAGCCTTGGATATAAACCGAGCCAGAGCGGCGACACGCCCTGTGAGGCTCTGGATATCCTTCTAAGTCTTCGGAATCTGCATGTCGAGCAAGGCCTTGATTTTTTCAGGATTGGCCTCGATGCCTCGTTGGCTGATCATGAAGCCAAGGAATTTGCCCGAGGAGACGCCGAAGGCACACTTACTTGGGTTGAGCCGCATGTTGTACTCCTTTAGGACGCTGAACATGAGGGAGAGGTTGTGGAGGTGAGAATCAGCTGTTTTGCTTTTGACCAGCATGTCATCTACATAAACCTCCATCGAGGTGCCGATGAGTTCAGAGAAAATTTTGTTAACCAAGCGCTGGTAGGTTGCCCCAGCGTTCTTCAAGCCGAATGGCATGACCTTGTAGCAGTAAAGCCCTTTGTCGGTAATGAATGCCGTATGTTCGCGATCGGTAGGGTGCATGAATATTTGGTTGTAGCCTGAGTATGCGTCCATAAAGCTAAGAAGTTCATGGCCTGCTATTGCGTCTACCATCTGATCGATCCTTGGCAGAGGAAAGCTATCCTTGGGGCAAGCCTTGTTTAAATCAGTATAGTCCTGACACATTCGCTAGGCACCGCTCGACTTCTTGACCAGCACTGAATTGGCCAGCCAAATTGGGTAAGTGACTTCCTGAATGAAGCCGATTGTTCGCAGTTTCTCTACCTCGATTCTCATTGCTTCATACCGTTCGGCATCATAGGCCCGCCGTTTCTGCCTGATGGGTTTGAAAGTGGGGCAGATGCTGAGCTTGTGGTTGATGACGCTCGGGGCGATGCCAGGCATGTCATCGTACGACCAAGCAAAGACTTCTGTATTGGCGCGCAAGAAGGCAATGAAATCGGTACGCAGTGCCGGACTCAAGGTGGTACCGATTCGAACATGTCGATCGGGCTCTGTTTCGGAGAGGACGACTGATTCCAAATCTTCAACGGGTTGTACTTGTGGGGTGACAGCTTCATCCCTGGGATCATCCGGTTTGTCCGCCCCTCTGCCGTTCGGCACAGTAGCGTTAGCGGCTACCGAGTATGCTTCGCGAGGCGTGGCGCGCGCTGAATCTTTGGTTGCTGAAACGTAACATGTCCGTGCACTCAACTGATCCCCTCGCACTTGGCCTACGCCGGCGTGGGTGGGGAACTTGAGGAGGAGCATGTGTGGTGACAGTATGGCTTTCATTCTGGTGAGCGCCGTCCTGCCGATGATGGCATTATACGCTGTTGGGCAATCGACTACCAAAAAGTGAGTATAAATGATCGTTCATCTGGGAATGGTGCCAACCGCAAACGGAAGCAGGACACTGCCGATAGGTTCGATCACATCACCAGAGAAGCTTAGGAGAGGGGTGATGTCCTTGTTCAGATGTTGCGGATCTATGCCGAGGCATTGGAAGCGTCGGCGAATAAGACATTGACCGAACTGCCGGTGTCGATGAGGATTCGGCCTACGTCGAAATCGGAAATGTCGACTCGGATGATCATGGGATCAGAGTGGGGGAAGATGATGCCTCGCTCTTCTTCTTCGGAAAAGGTAATAGGCTCCCAGCCGATTCGCTGGACTTTGTTGTTGCGGCCTTGATCTACGCTGAGGATCTGGGGGTACTGAACGGCACGCACATAATCTTTGACAGATCGGTTGCTAGTTTCGGCGATGGGTGTCCCTCCACTAATCATATTGATCTGCCGATTCGGTGGTTTATCCGAGGTTGGTTTAGTGCTCAAATACTGATCCAGCCTTCCTTCGTTGATGAGGCGCTCCACAATTTTCCGAAGGGCAATACACGATTCTGTGTCGTGGCCATTGTATTGATGGTATCGGCAGAACACACCGGTGTCCTTCTCGCTCTGCCGAGGAAGCTTCCGGTTGTTCGGCTTCGGTATTATGTCCCCTTCGGTCAGGAGAACATGCTCATAAGTAGTGTTGAGCAAAGTGAAGATTTCCTCTGGCCGATTCCTCTTCGGCTCGTCGAAGTCGCCTCGCCTACCGGAGTCCTTGCCCTTTTTGTTGGTGTCCTGCCGATCTCGAAAGTGGTCTTTCCGTTTGTTTCGTGGCGCGGAAAAAGCAGGGGCAGGGGGGGCCGTTCGGTAGGGGGCCTGATTTGTCGCCGGATCCGCCGGGAATCGGTCGGGTCATAAGGTTGGGTCGAAGGCTGATCGGTCGGTACCGTTTTGGTTGGTAGAGCCGAAGCCGGCCCTTTGGAGTTGAAATGTTCGGCCTTGGCATGGATAGCTGCCTGCTTCATCAGTTTGGAGTAAGTGGTCCAGTTGCTGCTGTGAACCAGATAACGAAACTGAGACGACCGAAGGTCGCTTTTGAAGGCACCGAAGGCTGCCCTATCGTCAGTTTCTGGACATCGAGAGTACTCATGGCTGAACCTAGCCGCATATTCTCGCAGGGGCTCATCGTCCTGCTGCCGAACGGTATAGAGGTCGTCGGCGGAGTACAGGCGATCGATCTGAATCATAAAATGGTTGAGGAAGGTTTGCTTCAACTGATCAAAAGTGTCAACCGTATCTGGCTCCATTCGGTAGAACCAATTCAGAGCGGCTCCGGTCAGGGTGGAGGGGAATAGCAAACATTGGCCTTCATCCGTCAGTCCTTTGCAACCCAACGCGGAGTGCTTGGACCTCTTTCTCGTGTCTGAATGTCCGGATTCGATTGGTGAATGGCCCTGGCTGTACCGTTCCCCACGTTGGTGTCCGAGCCTGGTTTTGTTCCTTCTCAATGCGATTCATCTTCTGTAGGTGGAGACGAATAGTCGGATCGGTAGAGGGAAGATCGTCACCAAAGGGCTCGATCGCTTGGTTCCCCGTGCGTCGGTCAGCATTGTGACCTCGTTTGTCTTGGGCTGCCGTTCGGCTGGGGCTTCTCTTGTAGTTTCCTTTTCGCCGATCGTTGTCCAGGTTCGATCGGTGGCTGTAGTGTTTTGCAGAGGGCCCCGCTGATGAGATGGTGGTTCCTGGAGATGTTGGAACGTAATCTGATTCGTCCGTTTCTTCCAGACCAATCGTACTGTACCTTTGGCGTATGGGGGATTTTGGTCCAAGTGCCTCCAGGCGTGGATCGTCGAGCTTCGCCCGGACCTGGATGGGCGAGGACTGCAACTGGGCGGAGAGTGTTTGGAGTGGGCACGAACAGAATAGATATTCTGGATGGCGCTCCTTTGGAGTGGGCACGAATAGTCTTCGGGAGACAGACGGCTCGTTTGCGGCTTGCTGCTTCCCTCTATGCTGGACAGTGGGCTTCCGTACGCTTTTAAGCGATTTCTCCTGCCGAAGCTGTGTGGTTGGTTCCCGACTGTTCTGCAACTGGGCGGAGAGTGTTTGTTGATGATGCAGCTGCCTCTGGGTGTCATCCAGTTTAGAGGCGAGAATATTGTTGTGCTCCTGCATCCTTGCCATATCCTACTGTAGGTTCTCCATACGAGCCTCCAGAGTGGTCGGTCGAGCAGGCGGTTTTGTTCGTGGCGTCTGTAGTGAAGGAGCTAAACTTGGCTCACCACCGAGGCCGAGAATAGGGCCATCGGAAGGGAGGATCGAAGATGGATTCATTTTTTGGTCTCAGAGCTTTTTAGATATGGGTTTAATCGATAAGCGATTCCCACAGACGGCGCCAATCTGTTGGCACTAAAACTGAACAGATAGAGATGAGTGCAACTTACAAGTGGTGAGGACGATCTAGCAGATCGATTGAGTGATGGATGTAGATTCTTCTTGTCCTTGGATGCTGATCCTGAATAGAAGAGAGTTGAGATTCGTGAGGTCTATGGAACCGGTGTGGAACCAGCCTAAGACCCTCCGATGGTAAAGTAAGTTTGTTTCTAAGAGCTCTTGCTGTTGACCATATAAAAGTATAATAGTCAAGCTGAAAAGTCTTACCCCTGTACTGTGGTGAAGGGGCCTATTTATAAGGGGCATTTTGTGTACTTTTAGTACTCATTTTCGATGTGGGACTCGTGGGAGGGCCCTCTGAGGTCGACACGAGTCTTTAGATATTTTGGGCGGATACTTCGAGGTTGATTCTGTACAATCGGTAAGGGATGCCGATTGTAGACAAGTTGAGCCTGTGATGGCTGTTCGCAGCTCCGAGACAATGCCATCGGTGCCTGATGCCGATTGTCCGAGGCCCTGGGTACTTGGGCGAGTGAGCTAAGATCCACGTGTCGTTGTACGAGTGGAGGGTCAGATACGGTACAAACAGAAATTATTAATTAAATGAGGATAATATGTGAAATCATATTTTTTTTCATATTAAAAAAATAAAAATAAAAATGAAATCAGATAATAGATCCTACTTTGACGGAACATAACTACCCATGTTACCTTTTCTTAATTCTAAAAATAAAATTAAAAAAGAAAAAAGAAAACCAATTGGCACATGCGTGAGGGCTAGTTATTAAATTATGTATCTTTACACGTTGCATTTTAGTCATTTTATTGTTAAATTATTTATTTTTGCCTAGTATATGGTTTATCTTTTAGGGGTACTATAGACTTTTCGCCGGGCAATAGTGAAAGCCGTGGTCAAAGTGGAAGCTGAGGATCACACCTTAAGCAATCCGTGGAAACTCACACAGAGAACTAAATTTCCTATTTGTAATATTTATAAAATATTGTCATGAAAAATAATCGATGGAAATTATTTTGACTAGGCGTTGATGGTTGTGAAGGGTATAATTTGTTAGAGTTTTTAAATAGCTCCAAAAATAATAATAATATTTTTGTTGTATTTAACTCTAGCTGAAACCATTTCTTGCCATTCGGCAGGCTCAGTGGTTCAGTGCCGACCCATGGCCAGACTTGGAACTAGTCTCCAAACAAGACTCTTTTGACTAGTTGCTGGCTATATGAATTGCACATATACAAGTGGTTGGGGCAGCTCTTTTAACTTGTTACTTGTTGCTTGCTTATATGAATTGCACATATACAAGAGTAAGGCAATTCAATGTTCATGATACATATGATGCAAAGCAAATGAATCTTTTATCAATGTTTGTTTTTTAGTCATCGGAGTTTTGCTGCTAAGGTTTCTTTGGATTGAATCTATTTTTTTTCTAAAGTATTGTAGGAGAAAACATTTGTTTAAAGTATTAATAATTTTTACTAAAAAATTCAAGGGTATTGTTGGAAAATTGAACACTTTGTCATTCCTAATACTACACCTTATTTCAGTTTTTTCACATGAAATTCTTAGGTACGAAGACAAAGAAAAATATACATTTCACGAGATTGATATACTATTTGCATCTATATACATATATGAAATTATCTAATTTGTGTGTATGTGTGTGTTTTTTTCAATGGATCAGAGTAAAAACAATCATATAGTGCAAAGGCAGAAAGTTTCCAAGATGGCCGTACCTCTAATATCCTTGTAGGTGTAAGTTTCTCCACCAACTGCTATGAGAAATGTAACGTTGAATGAAAAATCACGAAGATGAGGCAATCAAGGAGAAGGCAATACAAACAACTGAATTATGAGAAATATGAAAGCAATGCATAAGCAGAGAACTCAAATGGAAAAGCCACTATGAGTTTTCGTACGCTATAAATAGACAAGGGAAAAGATAACGAACCAGCATTGCTTCAAGAGAAGGTAATTCCAAGCAAACCCGAATTTCCTAGAAGCATCTGATCCAAAGCTTAATTACATACGAAGTTTGCTTGTTATATATATAGAAGCATCTCATCCCCAAAAGCAAAAAAAAAAAAAAAAAAAAACAAGCCTCTATGCCAAGGCAACGAAAAGTGAAGGAGAGCTTGACGCAATGGACAAAGTGAAAAAGAATTGGATGCATTGCTTACAAATATGGACAAGAGGGGAAGACTAAGAAAGCGATGCAATTATGGAATTTGGGGTTATGGAGGAATCCACACATCATCGAGGATGAGAAGAACCTCTTATCACTGGATCCTTCATGTACATCATTCACCCCTACACCTAACAATAAATCGATTGATTTTACACTGGAGTCTAATCCAACTGAGTTCTTCACAGAAGTAAACGACGAAGGATGTAATCTTTTCCATATCACATTGATAATATCTTTGATGAGCATGGTTGGGAACCTACAACATGATTTAATGGGATCAAAGTTTAGATATGTTTTTATAATATAGGATCTGACTGAAACTAATTAAACGATTGTCCTCGGATTTAATCTTGGCCAGAGAGGATTTAGATGTACTTGCATTGAAGCACAAAGACAGCAAAGATTTCTTCAAGACAGGGTATTGACCCATTGTTCCACATCGACCAGTTGAAAGAAGGAGGAGAACGGAGCTGTGTCAAGAGCTGGTTTTGTGATTGTTTCCATAGAAGTGATTAGCAAAATCACTTGGTGACTCAGTCTACCAACATATATGAAAGTGCTTTTGGGCATAAGTTCTTTAGATGTTATTTATAGGGTTTCACTACCGAAGATGAAAGGGTGATGCACTTTCACAGTTGAAGAAAAATTTTAGAGTCCCATGTCAAAACACACTCGAAAAATGATTATAATGGCTTACTACTTTGTTATCATCACACAATGCTTATAAGAGAATTTTTTTTCTTCTCTTGTTTAAATCTGAATTTCTCTGTTTTGATGTTGATTATTTTTATTTGCTTATTGGTGACAATATGTGGTACATAAAAATTCCGTATATATGAATTATTTTTTTTGGACGAAAAGGAACTTCATTAAGAGGCAAAAGCCACGAGCAGAAAATAAAAACTATGTCAGCACACACTCAACCAAAGCAAGCAAGTGGAGAGGCTAACTTAGTACAAAATATAGATAAGAACATTAGTTTGGTGGTCCTGGAAGACCATCCGCTTCTAACACTCCCTGAAGAGACGGTGGTGGCCTTCCAGCCCAGCAAATTTGCGCCACCGCTCTGATGCCAATACTAGCCGCTGTGTGAGCCGCTTGTTGATACTTCGAGGAATCCAACTCCATTCAACACTCTGGAAACTGTTGGCAAGCCTTCTAATTTCCAGAATTGTGGGAAGGATGGACCAAGCACCATTGTTAGTCATTCCTTCAACACTCCGCTTTAAAATAGTTGAATCTGTCTCAAGCATTACTTTTGAGAAATCCTTCCTCTTAGCTAAAGATAAGCCGCGAACGGCAGCCTCAGCTTCAGCATGAAGAGCTGAACAACAATACAAGTTATCCGCCAAACCACCACAGACAATCCCTGCTGAATCTCGAATTACCACCCCCACTCCAGAGCGATTCCTTTCCTTAATCCAGGCTGCATCCGTGATGACCTTCACAAAACCATCACTTGGGGGATATTCCTACTAAAATGAGGGACTTGAGAATAAATACCTCTTAATTATACGGGTACAACTAAACTAACCTTATTATAACTTTGAGGAATACTTTATTTTTTTGAATACAAAAGTTTGGGTGTGCTGAAAATTATTACCTCTTTTTTCACATTGTACAAAATTATCTCAAATTCGACTCTTGTTTTTCACCTGTAAACGTAAGAAAAGAGAATAAAATACTTATTTTGACAGGAGTTTATTAAGATAAAAAAGACATAAATGATTTTTTTGGTTAATAAGAAATCTTGATAATTTGTTTTTGGCAAATCTGGTTAATTATTGATTCATTATATGGTAAGATTTTTTACTTTGACAGTAATTTAGATAAGATTTTATTATGTTGGAATGGAATCGGCAGAAGCGTAGCAATACCCAATTGCAGAGAGTCC